AATTCTAGTGACTTCGTTTTCCTTTCCTTTACTTTTCCTTTGTGGTTGTAAGATTCAGCGGTTTGAGATAGTGACTGCACTTTCTGACAGTTTGATAACGACTGCGTTCTTCGGAGGTTCGCTCACCACTGCCCCGTCCGCGCCCAAGCCGTACCTCTAGGGTTGGGCCAGGCGCAAAGGGGAGGGGCAAACAAAGCACTCCTCGACTGAGCATTTATTTTGTACTACAATTATTTATGAGAAAATAGGAAAATAAAAGAAAGGGAAAGGAGAAAAGAAAAAAAACTAAACCTAATATTTCGAAGATATCATTAATGCTTAAATCTTATTATTCAAAACGAGAATTCATTTTCCTTCGTCTCGCGATAAGACATAATTTTATTTTATTATTATTATTATTGTTATTGTTTGTATATTGTTTTCTTTTGGATGTATAATTTGGAAATATAATTCTATAACTTAATTTTCTTTTCTCGAATTATCTCCTCTTTGTTCTCGATGCTGCAACTGTAGGAGAGACGAAAGAGCGTTCGATAGCCTTAATTTATACTATAGGGGAGGCTTATCGCACTCAAATATTTCTAATGTAAACTTTCAAACGAAGGGCCAACTCAGAGAGCCTTTCGTTGCGCAGCAAAATTTAACTGGCGACGAAAATGAATTAAATGAATTCTCGCTTTACTATTGATTATCTTAATAATAATAAGAATTATACATAAAAAAAAAGAGGAACACACATATATATAAAATGGTAAGACTATGAAAGTTGTATCCTAATACTTAAATCTTAATATTTAAAATCTCAATATTTATAATCTTATATCTTAATATTTAAAGTTACGCATGCGTTAACCTAAGGTTCGACTGCACCTACATCATTTTGGATGAACGTCCGCGTTTTAATTTTCTGCGGACGTTACACTAGAAGTAGTGAAGATCTATTTACATCAAAATATTTCAAAAACTACACTAAAGGCAACTTCACGACTGTAAATATAATATAATAATATTTAGCAAAATAAAGAGGTATGAACTTAGGAATAGATATTCCTATATGTGCAAAAAAGATAAATACATCAACAGCAATAAGGAAAACAATTACTAATAATTGTAAGTTGCAACAATTTATTAATTTATTTGAAATATGTAAACTTTCATTTAAAAAATCTTTTAGTGTCTATATTTCAAACAGGACCATAAAAGATAAGCCAGCTTTGAGAGCTAAGCTCGCTTGAAGACGTCCAAAATGATGAGCTGCAATTCATCGAAGAGTATGAGTCATTAAATCAGTCTGTATCTAATGAAGGAGCACATCAAATTTTGCAGGAAAAAAACGTTCTTTAATCATCAGAAACTATAACTACAAATCACAAGGTAATGAAGCTGATAAAGAGAATATATATAAATGGCGGAAATAGTAACTATTTTAAATGTGATATTAGATAAATTTTCTAAAAATGTTGAAAAAAATAGTTGACTAAATGACGTTTATTTATGGCAAGTTTAATAAATAATAAAAAATGTAATTACAATATTTTGCCCTGGGCATCAATCACGTAAATTTTCCCCTAGAACAAATCAATGAGAAGTAACGAATCTCATGTGGATTTCATCATTTTGTAATCACATAATTTTAATTCCGATGAAAGCGTGAGATATTTAGTGTGTGAAACTTTTCCATCAGCTGACATAGTTAAACGGTGAAAATCTAGTATTTCTTAACCTATACGGCATATTAAATGATCGCAGTTTTTTGGGTTTTAAATCTGGCAATAAAAGATTTTAATTTTAATTTTTAATGACTATGTATTCCGTTGTAGATATATATTCAAATTTTTTACGAAGATAAATTGCTAGTATATATAATACATTATTGTCAAGATGAAACTGAGAACTGAGAGAGAGAAACTGAGAAAATGTAACACTTAAAAAATAAAGTGAATCAGAAAGGAAAATATTGTAATTACATTTTTTATTATTTATTAAATTTGCCATAAATAAACGTCATTTAGGCAACTATACATTTTCAGAAAACTTATCTAACGTGGAGAGCGCGAGCACGCCTTGGTGATGTAGCCTTCAAATAATCTGGCAGCACTTCTTATCACTTCACTTCATTTTTTGATGAGCGAGTCCTTGAGATTAGAACTGTCCTTTTACAATTTTATTAACGAGAAACTCAAGAGGTTGAAGACCTAGTTAAAGATCTAGTTGCGATGCGCATAATGACCGAATAGAGAATGCTGGAGTGAGAGCGCAATAGAGAAGATAGAGACACTATAATCAGAGACGGGATAGTCCCGTTTGACCACGTCCCGATTGACCACAACCACTCACAGGGGCCGGTGCCTAGAATTTTTCTACTGTTCAAGCGCTGTGAGTGGCTAGTGGTCAATTGGGACGTGGTCAAACGGGTGCCACCCTCAGAGACTGGCCACGAAAAAGCAACTTTTGATTGGTCCGCCATCTTTTGGTTATTCTCACTTATTTTCAAATACATTAACTACATTAATCTTAAATTGTAATATTATAATTTAAAAACATAAGCGTTTTAAAGGTAATAAAATGTGTATATTTATAAAATTTTATTTCACATAATTATATTACCAATTTATTAATATCCTTTAATTTTAACGATTTAAAATCTTTTTTTTCGCTATTTATCTTTTTCAACACAAGAGCAAAAATTAATTAATATTTAATATAATACTATTATACTACTGTTACACTATAATATTTTTAATTTTTTGATACAAAAATTTTGGATACACAAAATGATCCTCTGTGAAATCAATACAATGATAGTTATTCACAAAGTTAACGCAGCGAGAGAACCCATCGCGGAAAAGCGTCAACAATAAACTTCAAGGAAATTTCGAGAATCAAGTATCGATGTCATGCTTTTTTTTTAGAAAGGATTATTATACATATTTATTATTATTATAAACAAACTTCATTACAATATAAAATAAAATTTAAGTAAAAAAAATGAACATCCACTCATTTTTTATATGTTAATTATCACAATTATTATTTTTTATATATTAATTATCAATTAACTAATTTATGATTATATTTTGCAATTTTAATATCTCTATTATTTAATGATATATTATCACGCTTTCCACGTGTTTAATACATATACACGATACACTTAAATCAATGCACATACAAAATAAAAATATCGCTATTAGTTAGAGGTGGTGTATATTTCTTTCTTTCTCGTAGGATTAGCCAAAACATAGCGGATCAGAGTCTCTGATTGGCGGATCAGAATTGTGGCCAGTCTCTGATGTAGTGTCTCTAATGTTTGGATAGTGGTGGTCTCCACGACAGAAATTGCAACCATAGATGAGAACTGGACGACGACGAGGGAGCGTCTCAGATGCACACATTTTCAATCGGACATACCACTCACATCAACCGATGCCTAGGAATTTTCTAGTGAGCTATCTATCAAAAATTTTTTTATTTAATCGACTAATCAGCAATGTGTCCGATTGGACCGACGACGATAATGACGTTTCTTAAAGTAAAAATTTCCAAATCAGACTTTGCGTAGCAATATCCGCTTGGGCATGTAGCAGAAAAATAAAAATACTTTTATTATTCAAGTCGAACTCAAGCTATCGGTCAAGTCTACTTAGAAGTTGATCGGTTTAGCCGTTATTCAGATCCAATACTTTCGGATGCTCGCATCTCGCCGACTCGTGTAAAATCACACGGCAGTGTTCGGTTGACTTGACACTACCGTGTCTTCTGATTTCTTTGAACCGCCATATTGTTGAATGTGCATTTCTGTCATGCGCGAGTGACAACCATTTCATATTGAACTGAGTTAATCTACTGTATCTACTTATACTGCGGTCTTAATTATGTTCATTCTGTTATCCTATTGATTGAAATATTATCTTAAGACAATCTTAATATAAGAACGTATGAACTATGAATATCGGCCTTAAAGACGTCTTTTTTATAATTTAAGGGTTGGCAGGAGTGACGGGCAAACTCTGAATTGATATTGGAGAGCCCGTGCGTGATACTCCGAACCTCAAATTTACCAACGCCGAGAAATAAAATCTCAGTTTCGATGTATTGGTATATACAAATATCATCGCATTGCTCACGCGACGCACTGCAGAGAGGAAAGATAGAAAAGGATGTGGAATTACGTTCTTTCACGCGTCATCCTTGTTCTTCTACTATGCTGATGATACACGAAGCACCGAAGCATATTGCTTTGTCAAAATATGGCCTGGAAATGTTTTCTGGCTTTTTGAGATAGAAAGCAATGATGCAATAAGACAAATGGGCGCCCCCCTTTTTATGAATTTTTTATTTGCATATGTATATATATGCGTATATGTATACTTATAATATCTAAAATTTATATACATGTTTCAAAATATATAATGATAAATAATGATAATAGAATAATAGTAAACAGAATGAACTAATTACAATAATGCAAAATAGAGTGGGACACTTGCACATTTCAAAAAACTAAATTATAAGTTGTACGAAACAGTATTATATATAAAAGTTGCATAATTTCAAGAGGATCATTATATAGTATATAAATTTTTTTTATAAATCTTTTATAAAAAGGCATTTGAAAAATTTCAAAATCAACATTGTTTTTTTTAAATGGAATCATATATTTTTGTTATGTATTTTTGTAATCTGATTACTATAACTATAATATGATTGTTTCAGTTATTT